TCCCCGGATACCACTGAACATTTTCTTTCAGACAGGGGTCTCTCACTAGTCTAGAACTCACCAAGTGTGGAAACTGGCTGCTCAGTAAGCCTCAGTGGCCCACCTGTCTTTTCCTACCCAGCACTTGGATTATAGTAGAACATACTACCACCACACACACACACACACACACACACACACACCCCTTTTTTTTTTTTTTTTTTTTGCAGTGGCAATGGGGATTTGTGTTACAACACATGTTTGCAAACCAAGTGCTTTACCAACCAAATCATCTCCCAGGTCTTTTTCTTTTTAAATTGGGGTGGAATCAACAGAACAGATACTCCAACTTGATCATTTTGATTTTCTTGTTCTTACCAAGGATTGAGCCTTAGGCATGCCAAGCAAATGCTCCATTAAGCTATGTGCCTGGCTCCAACTTAGCCATTTTCAAGTGTTGGCTTTAGTATAATTGTAATCTCTGCAAGCAGCTTCATTATCTAAATTCAGACTCAAGAAGCCAGTCTCTCTGAGTTCCCCCACCTCCTTCTCCTGGCTAGCACTAGTGTCTACATTACTCTTAATGAATCTGCTTCTCTGAACATGTGGAGTCTTATGTTGTGTAGTCACAGATCATGTATTGATGTTTTTTCAATGTGTTTAATTTTCTTGGGCTGTTATAAACTGAACAGAGGTCTAGGAGTTAGACGTTTGATCACTAAAGTAACAGAAGGTGGTGGAACCATTGAGGAGTGGGGTCTTATAGGATATCTTTAGGTTACTGGAGATGTTTTTTGAAGAGTATTGTGACATTCTACCCATCCTGTATTTTGGCTTCTATAATATGAACAGTTTTCTTGCCGTGTATTCTCAGTTGACTACAATGCACACCCAAACTAAGACACACATCAGTGGGTCTACTCCATCTTGGACTATAATCTACAAAACTTGTAACCCATGCCAAACCTTTCTTTTTAAAAGTTAATTATCTCAGGTAGTACATTATAATAAAGTAAAGATGAGTAACATATGGGTCTGTGCATCAATAAACTTATTTTGTGGCAATAGTTTTCTTTATTTACCACTTGACATTAGTCAAGAAATATTTAATTTAATTGCAAAATCACAGTATTAAATGCAGCTAGCATACACAGGACTGAGACTAAAGAGCACTGTTAGTATGTGCATAAACTATAAAGAGCATAACATACCAGCTTACAACAGTGATATTCTGGAGTAATCTCAATGCTTCAGCCAATAACCAGTTTGTATTTCCAATGGAAACAAGAACACTGTTAGCCCAAGTTGATTTAGTGTTGCTCAATACTCCACTACTACCCAGGACAGGGAAAAAGTACACAGCAGGGTACAAAAGGGATGTATTTGTCTGTCTTCAAAATGAAGCAAATGGGCCAGGTCTGGTGACAAACGCCCTCAATTCTAGCATTTCAGGTGGATTTCTGTGAGTTCAAGGTCAGCCTTGTCTACATAGAAAATTCCAGGCCAGGCCAGCATACATAGTAAAACCTTGTCTCCAAAGAAGCGAAAACAAAAACAGTGAGGGATCTTATGCAGGTTGTTACAACACCATATATGCAACTCCCTGTGATGTCTAGAAAACACCTATTCCTTGTGGTTATCCACCACCTTTGTCTCTGACATTCTTTCTTCTCTCTCCTCTTCCAAGATGTTTCCTGAGCCTTTGGAGAAGGGCTATAGTATAAATATCCCATTTGGGGCTGAGTACTGCATAAGATCAAACTGACAAAATTCCAACATGAAGGGGAGATGTGGACATGAAGTACCACTCCTACTTGGGGATCTATAGGGGGGGTTTCTTTAATGGTATGACCCCAGGTAGATTGAGTAGCTACCACTCCAGTGGATGGTTTCATACTCAAGACTATATAGATAGTACAAATTGGACTCCATATACATATATATATGTATATATGTATATATGTATGTATATGTGTATGCATATATAAATATGTATATATACATACATATATCAAAACATCAGATACTGTGGTATTTCATAAAAACCACATTTAAATAGTGCACTATTAGTTAATAAGTTTTCCTGCTATCCTTTGATGTAGATAAAATTAAAAACAGAAACTGAGAGAGTTAAACATGAGGCTCTGGAGTTGGAATCTCCAGCACCAGGTAAAAGCAGAATATAGCAACATCTGTATGTAACCAGCACAATGGGAACTGGAGACAGGCAGCCTGGAGCTTGGTGATCAGCCAGTCTAGCCTAAATGGCAAGCTCCAAATCTGTGAGAAACACTGCCTCAAGTAAATGAATCAATCAATATTGTAGAGAGTAAAGAAGACATGCTGCTATCAATGTCTGGTCTCCACCCACAGTTGCATGCGCAAGCTCACCCGTACAAACATATACAACCCCCCCACACACACACACACTAGTACATGGAATCTTTTTTTGTGCTCAAATCCTCCTACGTTTTCAACTGTGATTTGGTTTTTCTCAAGTAAATTTCATCACAGCAATGGGTGAGTTTTTAGATAGTCATGAAAGATACTCACTCTTAAGAAAATAGCTTCTAGTTTGACAACTTTTAGAAGAAAATCAAATTATTAAGTGAATAAAAAAATATCCTCAAACACTACAATGAACACTTTTGGGGGGGGGGGGGTTTATACTACCAAAGACCTGCCAAGTTCATTTAGATAAGTCATTATTAAAAACAACAAACATGCCTGAGCTTGCAAACTGTGCTGTTTGAAGAAAATGCAACTTTGAGAATTAGAGAATGCCTTAAGCAGGAATGTGTGTAATTCAAAGAGAAAAACTACCATGGCAACAGGTTTACCAATAAGTCATGTGACTGTGTAGCCAAAGTCATTTCATAAACATCAAAGCCACTGGGAGAATTCTTTGTTTCCTGTGATTATAAGATCAACAAGATGATTGGATAAGAAGACAGACAGAACATTTGCATTTGTTTCCCTTCTGAACATAAAATTGAAATTTTCTTCCACCTGGCTAACAAAAATCCCAGGGAAACTTTTGATACATGAATTTCAAGTTCTTCAGAGCCAAAGTCCTCTGGTTTGGTGCTGATACCCACCAAATGCCCAAAACAGCCCTGAGCATATAGTTGATGCTCAATAGATACCTATTATATTGAACTAAACTGAAAGATATGCAATATGCTGCAATGATATTAGCTAAGTCAGTCCACAATTTTAATATTTAAGCCATGTCTTCTGTTCCAGATCATTGTGTTGCTTGTCACAAATCTCCAGGCCACATTTCTCAAAACAGCTCCGCATTGCAAATCACTCACACCATGTCCTCATCACTAGCCACTTATCACCAGAGGGAGCACAGAATCAAGACTCCAAGAAGTAGGGTTGGAAGCTTACACCTACTTGTCTTCATTATTCCTTATGGTAATGCATCTGACAAGTATCAATACACTCATCTTGATATGGGAAAAAATTTAAATATTACTTAAAATTAAGGATGTTTCCTTGCTTCCTGTTTTCCATCCTTTTGTTACTCCCTTAGAATCATCTTCCATTTCCTTCATTTTTTTGAGACAGGTTCTTTCTATGTAGCCTTTGGTAGCCTAACAGTCACTACGTATTTCAGGCTGACTTTGAACTCACAACAATCCTCCGCCTGCATCTCTGGTGTGCTGGAATTACAGCATGTGCCATCATACCAGGCTTAAGGATTCCTACTGTTAACAATTACACAACAAAGGCAGTTTGACTAAATTACCTCTCATCTATTTCAGATCCCTCCCAGTTTAAAAACAGATGAGTAAAAATCAAGGATAGGAAAATTATATGCTTGGGCCATTCTAGTCATGGGGGATGGGGGTTGTTGTTGTTAAAATACCTAGAGGCAGAGTGCCCTGAAAACTGACCTGGGAGAGAGTGAAAAAGCTTGAATGTCAATGTTGGTTCCCATGTACACACTTGAAGCTATGTATTTTGCTAACTGGTGCAGACATAGATCTGAGCTTCCCAAACTGTTTAACAATTTGAATCTAGTAGATTCTCTAAAACTTCTTTCAACTCTATGTAATCATGTAAGTGATTGAGTCCAGTCACTCAGTAACTGATCCACTGTTCATACTTTCCAGTCATAGGCTGGGCATCATGAGTGGCTAGGACACCATACGCCCTAGAGTAGTGTAACTTTGGAGGGAAGAAGAATTACACAGCCAGCAGCTGCAGATTTCAAAAGCCAGTGAACCCAGATACCTGTAGCCGCAGGGTCTTCCTGCACTTGGCAAGCTTGAAGGGTTTTTCCTCCCATCTGGGCTAGGCCAGCAGGGCCCCTGGAATGCCCACATAGCTCTCAGCAAAGCTAGGAAGAACCAACAAGAGGCCAGACAAAATGCAAGCAGAGTGGTTCAGAATGCTGAATCACCAATTTACACTAGATCAGTGATTCTGAGATCCGCAGGTTGAGAACTTCTGCTTTGGGGCAAGGAACGACTGGAGAAATTAAGTTTAATTCATTTCAAACACGGAAAGCTGGTGTTTTGAGTAGACCACTCAGGAGCAACAAACACTTTAGGAGCAGGTTAGGGTTATAAAGTAAGAAGACTGACAATCAAGGGGGAAAGGCAGTCTGTCTTGCCTGGGAAATGTGCACCTGGAAACTGCAGGACACAGATCAAAGCCCTTCTCTCCAGCCACCTGCCCAGAAACTCAGCGGGACACCTCAGGACTTAGGACAAGTGGCCAGGCGCTTTCTTTCTAAACTCAACAGGTGGCCAGACTTAGGGTCTAGACACTGTGCGTAACTGGGACAGACGTAGAATAGAGCACCCAGGGTCCTTCCCGAGGTCTAGGTCCAACCCTGTCGCCCTACCTTGACGCTGGTGTCACCTGTACTACCGAATCAAAAGTGGGAAGAGCAGCAGCCGAGCTTTCCGCACTGGGACAGCGTCGGGACTAGGGGCGCGCTCCACAGCCTTCTACCGGTCCCAGCCCGCCCGCCGGCCCGCATCCCGGGACCCGCGGGTCCTCACCTCATGGGGACAGCTGCAGCGCTGGCCTTGGCTCGCCCACATACCCCCTGAGCGGCGGCCCTTTCCCCGGCCCCAGGCGTCTGGTGGTGGCCGAGGGGCGGGGAGCGCACTGGGCGGAGGCGCCGCAGGGGCCGGGGCCGCGGGGAGCGCCTGCCGGACAGTGTCGCTGGAGTGATCCCACTGCCCCGCCCCCAAGAAGCAAGGCCCTGAGCCACGCCAGCCCCGAGGGTGACTCTGCCCAGTCGGAGAAGAATCATTGTCCCGGGATTCGCTCTGCGCTGGGGGCTCGGCCACGCGTGAGGGGCACGAGGAGGAGGGGCACCTCCAGGTTATGTAATGCTTCAGCTGAGAAGCGAGTCAGCTTGCCTTAGACTACAGGACTCTTTCCTGAATGGCCTGGGTGCCTCAGACTACACTAAAGGAAGAGGCTGGGTGTTCTCAAAAAGACTGCTTCCCTGCAGGGTCAAAGGGCAGAAGGTTTACAAAGTCTGCATCTGCGTCTGTATCCAGCAGGGAAGAGAACCCTGCCAGCGAGCTGGTCCGACTTTTTCCACTGATCAGTCAGTTAATTACAAGCATCCGAGGACCTGAGTTCCACTCGCCCGCAAAGCCCATGACTTTGGGCGATCAACTTAACTGAGTCGCAGTTTCATCTGTAAAATAAAAAATATCGTTGCTTTACTCTCTTGCTGAGAGAATAAGGTGTAGGTGCCAGGTGCGGTAACAGTCGGGGTAAAACCTGAAGAGGGACTGCCCCTGACCTCCAGGAGACCAATGTGCACAGCAGGTTCCTGGCTAGCCATCCTATCAGAAATTCTCCTAGACCAAAGCAGGATCTCTGAACTGACAGGGTCCCATGCTCCTGCTTTTCACACTGTCCCTTGGATTGACTGACACAAGCTAGGTTAGATATGCAAACCCCCAAATCTGTCTTCTTTTCAACAAAAATCCCCCATGGTTCTGATGAATGTCAAAAAATGAAAAGAAATTAAGCTTTCAGAAAACTTGAGAATAACAGGAAGTCACTGATTGATAATAGGCAATATTCTGCTTTGGGTTTGTTGCTGTTTGGGCATGGAGGTTCAGGTGCTTTTTCTTTTTTTTTTTTTTTTTTTTTGAATAGGAGGTACCATGTGGTCCAAGCTGGCCTTAACTCTCAGTTCTCCTACCTTCAGGGCCCCAGTGCTGAGATTTTAGGGATGCTCTGGCAATTTAAAAACAAGCCAGGAGGAGGAGGATGTGGCTCCATCCTAGAGTGTGTCTGATCGATATTTCTGAAGCTCTACGTTGCACAAAACCCAGCAGATTCAAGACCCTTCTCAGCTTGTCCCTTTGTGTTGTATGTTTGTTTCCCTTTCTGTTGACCTCCCGACACTATAACTATAAATTGGAATTTAAGCACTATTTTCACTTGCATGAACTCTAGTTTAGGTCTGAGGGATTGGTAAATGTGTGTTTGAAACACACACAAGAAGGAGACTTCATTAGCATTGAAAGTGAGCTTACAAATGCAGGGGCACCAATGAGCCTGAAGCCTCATCTATGAAAGTCCTTAGGTCAAAGGCTTGGAAACCCTGTCTTTGAGAAAAATACTTCTCCCAGTTAAACACTGTTTCTAGTGGCAAATCAGTCTTATCTTCATTTAAGTGACATAGGACAACCAGTTCTTTTGAAAACCTTTGGAGAATAGAACAAATCTTCAGACTTCTTTCTAAGTCACGGCTCACAGGACCTCTAACAAAGCCCAGAGCTATTATTTATTGGTTTAAGAGCTATGTCTCTGTTGTTTTATCCTTGATGTTATTCAGATTTTGTTTGCCTGACTGCTCTCTGGCAGAGGGAGTTTTAACCTTTGAGAGTTTAGTAATTGGGGGTGTAATGGTACATGCCAACAATTCCAGCAATCTGGAGGCTAAGGCATGTAGGGGATGGTGAGTTTGAATCCAGCCTGGGCTCCATAACAAGACCTCTGTCCTTGAAAAGACGAACAAGAGCCATAAAGATAGACAGCAAATGAAGCTGAATTGATTCCTGGGATTAAGGGAAAGAATTACTGACTGTCCCAAGTTGTTCTCTGACCTCCACAAAATATACACAAAATAAATAAATACATGAAAATAATAATGTTCTGCAAGCAAGGCTGTGATGTGGCTCACTTGATTGAGTGCTACCTGGCATACACAAAGCCCTGGGCTCATCAAACTTGCACTGGGCACTAAAACTAAAGCATGGACCAAAGGATGGTACCCTTGCTCTCATTAAGCTCTTTCTAGTCTAGAGGGCAAGGACCACTGGGGGAAAAAAATAACATCATATAGTGATAAGTCTGCTAGAATAAAGAAAGTAGGACGCGAGGATAGAAGACTTACAAGGTGATGTGCACAAGGGAGATCTCTCATAAGAGAACATTTGACCCCCAAACTTGAATAATATAGCCAGGGAATCAAGGATGGATATCTAGAGTGAAAATGTTGGCAGAAACAAGTAGTACAATGGTCTCATAATGCTGCCTGTGACATCGCAGTGCTGTACTGTGCTGCTGTAGTGCTCCATTTTTACATGACAATGCTGTATTTTGAGGTCACTAAGTAGTGCTTTGCTATCACCATCACCATGCTCCTTTGTGCTCCACTGTGCTCCACATGCACCAGTGCTCCACTGTGATGTCACAGCACTTCATTATGAGGTAGCAATGCTCAGCTGTAGCATGGCAATGCTTCGTTAAGATACCACAATGCCGCGCGTGCCATCACAACGCTTCATTGTGACCTCATAGTACTCCGTTATGGAATCACGAGGTTCCACTGTCACATGACAATTCTCTGTTGTGCTAACATCGTGCTGTCTTGTAACATCACAGCTCAGTTTGGCCTTAGAGTGTTCCGCTGCAAACATCTCAATGCTTCTCTATGGCATCACGGTGCTCTATGGTGCTAGCACAATTTGTCTTGTATCATCACAATGCTGCATGTGATATCCCCTGCGGCTCCATGACAACAAAATAAAGCAAAAAGTGTTCAGTGACTGTGGGCTGCTGGTAAGTGTAACAGGAATAGGCAGAGCTTCATATGTAAAGCCACTTCCTAGGGGTTTCCCCTTTCAGGCTGTTGAAGCTGCTGCTGATATATAGGTGTAAGCCACATGGACAGGAGGTTGGACAGAGGAAAGGAATCTCCTTTTTCTTAAGTTTAGGAGTTGGAGTTTCTGAAAGTGGAGGGGAGAGCTCATCTGCTTGGAAGAAAAGCCAAGGTGTGTGTGGGGGGAGGGGAGAATAAGGTGCGGACTCTAAGCAGCACTCTAGGGTAGTTTTCTGCAATGGCTGAAATGTTCTACATTGGCACCGTTCAACAGCACTCCACACTGTGGGCTGTTCACACTTACACTTTAAACAAAGAACTAATGAAACTCGGGTTTTTTGTGTGTGTTATTTGTCTTTAGTGCTCATCTGTTTTATGAGTCATGTTTCAAGGGCTCCATACCAACATGTGGCTAGTGTTTCTCAGGATGGGCAGCAACAAGACACACCCCTCATCGCAGGAGGCCCTTATTGAGTGATGCTTACAGGCTAGGGTTTGGGTGAAGAGGTTAGAGCAGACATGGTGCTTTTCTGAAACCTGTCTGTCACCTGTTCAAAGGCAATGTGGAATGACAGCAGTTCTTGTGGGAGTTTAAATGTGGGAATGCATAGAATGCATTTAATGCAATGCTTTGGCCGTAGTAAGCATGCAAAAATTTACCCATATTGCATTTGTGATTTATGAAGATTCTCTTCTGAGCCAATTCTGAACCTCCACATCAGTATGACAAGAATCTCTCTTCCCTCACATCTGACCATCCTCTAAATCTGACCGGTTCTTCATCCTCCATACCACAGTGATGTCTGATGGCTCTGGCTAATCTTCAGCAGGAATCCAATAGGTTGGTTTAGCTATAATCACCTTTATCCTTGATGTTTCCTCTTGGTAGTTTTCAATTCTGTAACCTCCACTCTATGCCCTTGCCTATAAAATACAACTCACCCATAATAATAGAGTTATATACTGTATGTCTTCCTCGCCTTACAATAATATATAGTGGTCCCTCAACCTGTCAGTGTTCCAGTAAAACCTCTTTCTTACAATGGTTTAACGTATGTCACTGAACAATTTTTTTTCCATTAACAGGAGACATGGTACTATAGTCACATCAGTATTAATGAAGCATTCTTTTGCTGATATGACCAGCTGATGACCTGAACATTCAGCCAGCCTCCCTTACCCCCACCCCCACCCCCCGGAACTAGCACAGGTAGTGCTATTCCATCCTTGAGGCACAGCATATTTGCTAAAAGTCCTACCATTTATAGCCAATAATTAACAAGTGTGTGTACATTTTTAACTAAGATCAAACCACACATAGCTTAGAGCAGTGGTTCTCAGCCTGTGGGTCATGACTCTTCTGGGATCAAGCAATCATAGGGATTGCTTAAGACCATAGGAAATCACAGATGTTTCCATTTTGATTCATAGCATTAGCAAAATTACAGTTATGAAGTATCACTAAAAAGAATGTTATAGCTGGGGGTCACCACAACATGAGAAATTGTCCTAAAGGGTCATAGCGTTAGGAAGATGGAAAACCGCTGGCTTAGTGGAATTAATCTCCAGAGCGACTCTGAGATGCATGACACCTACAGTCCAGCCATTATTGAAAGAGTGTTTGTTCCTGTTGCTTGGTCAAACAAGATGTGTGGATTCAGCAGAGGCAAATGAGAACACAGGCCTCAGACAAAGATGTCCAGCGTCCACATCAGAGCAAAAGCTATCAGATAGCTGGATTGGGGTGATAACCTTGCAGCTTTTGCCTAACTAGAATTGAAATGTTATTTTCAAGGCCAATAAAGATGTTAAGGATAACCATAAATAGCATACATGCATGCAATGAAAGAATATATATCATCAATTACATGAAATTGTAATTGGTAAGAGAATATGGTGAAATTCTTCTCTGGACTCTAAGAAACATATATTTGAATATCATCTTCTCAAACTCCTATTCACCTGGCTTTTAAAATAATACCGTGATGGGTTGGAAAGATGGCTCAGTGATTGAGAGCACTGACTGCTCTTCCAGAGGACCCGGATTCAATTACCAGCAACCACATGACAGCTCACAGCTGTCTGTCTCCAGTTCCAGGGGATCTGAC